TAGAGTCCTCTCAATCAACCTTAGCTACCGAGCTTGATAAAACACCTTCCCCTTCCTCATACCCTTCACCATCTCTTTCTCATTTACGAGCTGACTCGCTGTTGAATAATGAGAGACCCATTTCATTAGCAACGGCGAATTTGAGTTATATGAAAGCAGGAAAGAGTGCTGCAGTGACTTTTATGATTAATCCTCGTTTTGTGGAGGATGATGAGTCATTGGCAATGGCAATGCCCCCGCCCCCACCTCCTCCTTGAGAGGAGATAAATAATGAATGGATATTGATTTTGAGGATTTGAGAGAGTTTAGGAGCATGGGGATTGATCATGTTGGTTTTGATGAAAATAATGAATTGAATCAAGGGGGTGGAAATGCAGATATAAGGCAGAAAAATGGCAAGGAACTGAGGCAGCTATGTGCGGAGAATAATGTCAATGGACCAGGTGAATCTTTGATAGGCAAATGTGTTCTTGAACAATCAAGTTCAAAGGATGCTGAAGATGATGATTTATCAGCAGAGAAAGATGACCCTTCTGAGTTTATTACCCATAGGGCCAAGGATTTTCTTTCGAGCATAAAAGATATCGAACATCGCATATTTCGAGCCTCGGAAGCAGGCAGAGAAGTCTCCAAGATGCTTGAGTCAAACAAAATCAGGGTTGGATATTCTGAAACCAAAGGTAATCAGTTATATCCATGAGAGGCTGTTTATTTCACCTTGAACTTCTAATTTTGGCTGCGAGTATATTATGAATAAACTACTTCTTGTAGGGCGATCCTCAACTTTTATGGCAGCTTTTTAACTTGCTTGCTGCCGAAGAAAGACGGCTTTTGTTTTTTATATTGATCAGTCAAGATAATGTATAATCTAATCCTGAAAAATATAAATAAAAAAAGAACAATCTAAAGATCGATAGAGAATATAAAAAATGTATCAAAAGATAAAAGAATTCGTATCATAAAGGTAGATAAAATCATACATAAAAAAAGAGTTATTCAAAATTTAAAAGTAAAATAAGAATAAAGATATAATATAAAAATAGATGAAAAATAAAAAATAACTAACACTAAAACTAATGTCGCCGTACCTATAAACCAAACTATAAACCAAAGAAAGAAAAATCAAGCCGCACAGCGAAAAAGTGAAAACCTTAGGAGAAAATAATTGATCTATTTTGAAGAAAACTATTTTTTATTTACTATATCTATCCATTCATAAATAAAAGTTTATAATTAATTCAAACATATTTTAATGGGTTAATACTGCTTAGTAGAATTTGTTTCTAAAGACTGTTTTTCTGTTAATCTAAAGTTATCATCGGTAATATTTGTTATAAAGACTTTTAATTATTTAACAATGAATCTTCAAATATATTGTTATCATTGATATTTGAACCTGAAACCTCTAGAGATAACAATTTTAATTCTAATTACTGAGATCGCTTAGTTAACATATTTTTAAAAATGTTAAGAAATTGAGATAGACTTTGTATTAATTAATCATTTTTATGATAGATTTAATATATAAATAAAAAAGAATTATGTTATTAGATCTTTTATATAATATGTTAATAGTATGTAATTCGAGATATATTAATTTAATTAGTGGTAAAAGATGTTCATATTATCTTATTTTGTGTGAATTCAAATCTTATTATTTACCTTTAAAATATAATACTTCTCTACTTAATCAAAAAAATAATGACTAATACACATTATCTATAAACATAACAATAATAAATCATACGAATGAAATCGATTAAATTTATTTTTTATATTTAATTAATTAAATGGTGGTTTAAAATTTTACAATTTAAGCTAGTAGTCATTAACTATGTTAGGAAGGCTGTTTGTAGAAATAAATAAATACCAAAAGGTTTAATGATATTTAGCTCTATTTTTTATTTATTTTTATTTTTACTTTTTTATTAAATTAAAAAAGAAAAAGTACTAATCATAGAAAATTGACGTCAATCATTTTTTTTAATATTGACATCGATTATTCCATTTTTTATACAAAAATAAAATAAAATTATAAAATATTTAAAATTTCAAAAATATCAATATATATATATATATATTGTTAGAAATTATGAAAATGAAAATTTGTAAAAATATAAAATTATTAAAAATTTATTTTATTTTATTTTTATAAATTAATTCAATTTGATAAAAAATTATAAATTGAAATACTTTTTTTTTTTAAAATGAGAGTTGAAATTATCATTAATACATAATAAAAATGTCGTTAATGGATCAAAATGCTGAGCATGTGTGGTAATATTCCACAAAACAATAACTTGAAAAGGCAAATTAAAACGTTTTGACCTTTGGTTCTTATGTGGAGTACTTGGATAGTCATCCTCTAATTTGTTTTTAATTTTTCTCTCAAAATTATGTTATTTAAGATTTATTTAAAATGATAATATTAATATCTTAAAATTTTGAATATTTATATTTAAATTTTAGAGTTATCTATATGATTGACCATTTATGTTTGTGTTTTGTCTACTTTTCCTCACTGGTTTGAAAAACATAATATATATGATCACTTTCGTTTTTATTTAATTAAGATGTGGTCACAACAAATTAATTGTCGTTATACCATTAGCAATTTGCTAAGCTTGGTAAAGTAATTAAATAAAATATAAAATACATCATTTCCATATGGATTATATGTGGATTAAGTTTTTAAAAAAATGATATAAACGTGAAATAAAAAGGTGTCGTTAATTATCATTTTTTTTCAAATCGTCAGTGGTTAATTTCATTATATTCTTCTTTGTCGGTGTGTTTTTTTCTTGTTTTCTTAGGATTTTAAGGACCGCCAAAGATATCAAAAGGGTGTTGTTTTAGGGATTTAAAGAAAAGTATTTCATAGGTGACTTTGTTTTAGGGATTTGAAGAAAATAGATAGTTGATATGACACCTTTTTATTTGACGTTCATATCAATTATTTTTTAGAACTTAATCTACGTATAATTCATATGAAAATGGCGTATTTCCTATTTTATTTAATTATTATGGCAACTTAACAAATCATTAACGGTCTAACTAAACTCGTGGTGACCACAAATAAAAATGAAAGTGACCATATATATTATGTTTTTTGAAATCAGTAGGGAAAAATGAACAAAACACAAACGTAAGTGATCAATCGTATAGTTAACTCTAAATTTTATTATTTTAAGCTTTATTTAAATTTATATTTGATTTAAATTTTGTTATATACAATCAATTACATATGCAAAATTTTAATTTTAGGGTATGATACCATTCAAATTAAAATGAAATTAACAAATGATTGAATTTAAGCCTATAGAAGGAAACTGAAATGGTATATAACGCTATTTCTGAAAGAGCCTCTATCTATCTCTTATAAAGACATGGTTACAGGTGCGATGAAAGACCCCTCATCAGATACCCATGAAAACCAGATTCTGGACATCGAGGACGAAGATATAGATCTCCTAGAAGATGATGTCAGAGTAGGAGAGCATGATGGAATCTCTTTCATCGACTTTTAGGAACGGGTTCAAAATCTGGCGATAAAAATCATGGATTTCACTTTGATTGTAAAAGTTCTTGGCCGCCGAGTTGGTTACAATACGCTTCAAACCCGTATTTACAGCATTTGGAAGTCATCCCACCCAATTAAACTAATCGATATTGAAAATGATCATTTTCTTGTGAAGTTTTCTTGTAGACAGGATTATTTATCGGATGGTTCATGGACCATTTTTTAGCATTATCTGATGGTGGAACCATGGTCCGTCGACTTATACCCAACTCAACTATACCCCAACAGGATCATGGCTTGGGTAAGGTTACCAGGCTTGCCGATTACTTGTTACAAATGAAGCATGATCAAGGCCATTAGCAGTTGTATTAGCTCTATTGTTAAGATTGATTACTAGATTGATTATGGCTGTCACGGACCTTTTTGTTTGTATGGTGGTTAACATCAATTTACGCAAACATCTTTTCGCCCTTGGATGATGGTCGAAAGGCGTCAAGGAATGCCTCAAAAGAAAGTTGCATAACAAACTATTGGTGATGCTACCATTCAGATTGAAAACTGCTCATTTAGCCCGCTTGTAACGGATGTCGAGACATCTCTCGATGCTGGAAATGCTGTTGAGGGTGCTGCTACATGTGCACCTCAAATCGATGAGACAACAGTTAGCACGCTAGCTCAAAAGAAAATGCCATCCAAGCCTAAAAATTCTAGCAAAGTCGTTGCTGCCCCCAAGGTATACGTATCACACCCCCTGCAAAACAAGGTGAAACAAAAAGGGAAAGAAGCTTTGTCTTCCAGGAAAGCCCCCTCCGTGCCTATTCAACTGATTTATTCAAATATCATTTTGAACCGTGTTGTTGGTTCTCAACATGTGAGCTCGTCCATGGACCCTTCAGTCCGAAAACCAAGTGTCGTTTTGAACCCCAAAAAACATTCTGTTGTTGCTATTGACGTAAACCTCAATCCCCAGCTGCCTCTAAATTCTATTTCAAAAGAAAATATTGGAAGCGCTTCCCATGGTAAGCCACCGGACACTAACCTACAAGCTCTGATTGCTAATGTTGTTTTAGTATAAGCTGATGATTCATCAGCTATGGTCGAATGACCGTCCTTCCTCTCTATTATTTTTATGGATTTACGATTCTTTAAATTCCAAAAGCTGATGAGCCAAAAAGTCCACATCTAAATAACAATCAACAATTTTTTTAGCCAATCAAAATCTAACACGTGTAAGAACATCGTGTTTCATACCGACACCTGCCGGTTAAAGTTAATTGCAAAATTCTCATCCCATCGAATAATGGCATCTTCGAAGTTGACGAGAAAGAGGGCGGTAAACTAAATCAATATTAATTCAGTAATTAAGTAATGATTAACAATAAATTAATTAAAAAAGGACAACAATCTATGGGTTGTGAGAGAGAAAGCACATGGAGGGGTAAAATCCAGAGTTTTATATAAGAAGAGAGAAGACGATCCTCCAAATGCAAGAGAGCAAACACCAAAGTGAGACCACCAAAAACAAGATTTGAGAGAATTTCCAGATTTTTCAACAGTGCTTGATCATTCCAGTTTTCTTCAAAATTTCCCCTTTTTCTGTAATCCCCCGCTTCTCTGGCCCCTCTCTGTTTTCGTCCGTCTTTCAAGCATTTATAAACATAGACCAGACCAGGTTTTTTTTTTTTAAAGCCAGATGTTCCAGAATAGAGATCCAGGTTTCTGTTTTTAAAATCAATTACAAAGTTTTAAGCTTTATTTTCATATGCTAAGAGGGTTTGTTTTTGTTCCCTCGAGGTCTTTTTTTTAATCAAACTATTGCCTGTTCTTTTAGTTTTGGTTAAGAACCAGGTTGTAACTTAGTTTTTGGATATGGCAGGAGCTATAGATATGTATAATAGCAGCAGCAACTCAGTTTTTTCAGATCCTTTTAGTGAAGAGTTAATGAAAGCACTTGAACCTTTTATGAAAAGTGCTTCTTCTTCTTCTTCTCCTTCTCCACCTTTATCTTTCTCATATTCTCAACTTTTATCTCCTTCACAGCCTAACATGGATCCTGGCTTTTGCTCCCCATCAAGTACCCACTTGTTTTCTAATCATGGGTTCTTTAACTATAACAATCCGATGGGTTTTGAGCAAACAGGTTCGGTTGGGCTTAACCAGCGCAACCCTTCTCAAATCCTTCAAATTCAAGCTCAATTCTATCAGCAACAACAGCAGCAGCTTGATTCTATGGTTCCAAAAACATCCCTTGGAAACCAGAGGCTCAACTTTCTTTCCCCAAAACCTGTCCCTATGAAACACGTATCTTCAACTCCTCCAAAGCCTGCAAAACTGTACAGGGGAGTGAGGCAGAGGCACTGGGGGAAATGGGTTGCCGAAACCAGACTCCCCAAGAATCGAACCCGACTCTGGCTCGGCACTTTCGATACAGCCGAAGAGGCAGCTTTGGCTTATGACAAGGCTGCTTACATGCTCCGAGGAGAATTCGCCAGGCTCAATTTCCCCCACCTCAAGCATCAAGGACTCCATCTTTCTGGCTTCAAACCTCTCCATTCCTCAGTCGATGCAAAGCTGCAAGCCATCTGTGAGAGCCTGGGGAAACAAGGGAAACCAGAATCAAAACCCAAGGTGAAGAGAGAGGAGTTGGATCAGTCTCCAAAGTTACCCGATCCTAAAGTGGAGAATTCACCGGATTTATCCGATGGATCACTGGCAGGGTCTTCTTCACCAGAATCCGGTATCACTTTCTTGGATTTCTCTGATTCAAGGTGGGGAGACGATGAGAACTTCAGTTTGGAAAAGTTCCCTTAAGTAGAAATTGATTGGGAAGCCATCAGGGAACTCTTGAGTCTTGAAAACAAAATTACAACTACTATCATGTAATCTTTTTCTACTACTATTATCTCTGGTAGCCTCTACATTGAAATTTTTGACATCTGTAGAGTTGCTACAGTATTAATTAGGTGTTTTAAGTTTAGAATCTATGTCAATATGTTGTAAGAGCGGTCTTGCTGGTACTTTTTATCCTGGCAACGCCCCTTTGCAGACCTTCCAAGTTTATGTTTTGCTGTATTATAATAGTTCCTGTGTAAAGTTCAGCAAATTATTATCAGATGACTATGTATAATATATTTTATGCGTCAGTGTTTGATTCTCCTCCTTGACATGGTGTTGCCCTTAATCAGTTCAGATATCTCTCTTTTCTTGGTAAATAGTGGTCCTCAAACAAAATTTTGACATAATCTATGAATTGGAACCAAGCAGGATAAACAATAAGCCCTGGAATAAAACTATGAAACTTTAGAATGACTTTCGAATATGAAAAGTTATTGTGAAACAAAGATCCCTTGTAAACGTTAACCTCAGAAGTTGCTAAAGCAAGTAAATTATGTCATTTGCAGAAATTGTGAATTTCTTTTTGCAGAAATTGGACGTATATTTTTCGGATTTCAGAGAATGGATTGATTCAAATAACTCCAGGGTTTAAATAACGTGTAAATCCTAATCTCTTATATATATTTATATTTATAGAGATAAATTTCTTGTTTACAAAATAAACTTGTATAATGAGAAATCTATTCAAATTGAGTTTCATCAGCATGCAAAGGAAAAAAGTAGAGTTTTATACAAATTAACCATCTCACAAATCTCTCTTAATCTTTACTTTAAATAATTTTTTAATAATATAACGTGATTATAAAATAATACGTGTTCGTAATTTTTAAGTAAATTTCTTTACTAACAAATAATTTAAACTTCTAAAGCTAATTATTGAGCACGCATTGGACAATTCTTTTAGCAAACATCCTCCATTCCAACAAGGTCCATGAATTTCAGGATTGTAATCTACATCAGTTAGGAAAATTTTGACAAGCTTTCAATGAACAAGTTGCATGCCAGTGTCTTTCAAATGTCTAATTGGATGGGGCAAGTGCTCAATAATTGAATACTCTTTCCGGAAGCATCTGGGACTTTAGGGGGCCTTCTCTGCCGGGGCTGTGACAAAGTACGCATGATGATTATAACAAGGAATGGATCCAAGGAATAGAACAATTGTCGTCCTAAAATTTTATTAGTTTCTCTCATACCATAAAAATTTTCCATCCCATCATTGGTACACTATACTAGACAATACAATACACATGATAATTTTAACATTAAAATATAAAATTATTTGATTTATATCCATATGAAATTGTTGAATGAAATAGATGAAGGGATTCACAAATATGGACTATAAAACATAAGAATCTTATCACTTGGTAGGAGGCCTGAGACAAGGGAATTTAGAAGTGGTGGGTCGAAAAATATCAGACTTAACAATATTCTGATTCTTTACTCCTTGTAAGGATGTAAAGACAAGTTCACACAAATGAAGGAGAGGAAGCCTCTTCTCCAGCCATTTCGAATCCTTCCAAAGCTTAAGAACGATCTTCCCCAGTGCCCATACACCCACAATTTTTATCAATTTTTTTCTATTTTTACAATAAAAATATACCATCTAAACATCAAATCAATTTTCCTTTTGGATCGTTCATTACTTTTTTTCTGAATTCTATCTAAAGCATTGAATAGGAAGGAAAAAGCAGTGTGAATGCATGAATGCAACTTGCATCCCTCTTAAAGTATTCTGAGGTTCCTTAGGTTGAAGAAAAGTCTAAGTATACGAATCTAACTCTTAATTTGTTTTTCTATAATGGAAAAGTAAAGGAATAAAGAGAAAAGAGTGCAACAATAAAATGAAAATAAATTCAGTATACTTGAAAAGAGATTAATTACTTTTAATATAATACATAAAAGTAAATCATTTTAAAATTCAATAATAAGAGGAACAAACTAAGTGTGTACTCATTTTCTTTCTTTTCATTTTTCTTTTAAAATTAATAGTAGTTTATTCTCTTTAAATGTAATGGTTGTACGAATCAAGTGACTTCCGTCATAAAAGAATTATTCATAATCCTTGAGGAGTTGGGTTTGAGCATCAAGAATACCGGGAGTGTATGCGTTCAATGTTAAGAGGTTGAGAGTTATTTTTAAACAGAGACTACCTTATACTTAACTCGGATTAATAAAAAAAAGTAATGATTTTTTTAATTTTAGAATTTTGTTTGTTGTTTTCTGACAATTTTTCTTTAGTTTTATATATTTTTAGAATGGTTAGATGAGTAAAATAAACAACTGATTTTTTTTTAATAAATATATTCTTGTTTCTTATTGTTACTATTAACTATTTATTTTAAATTGTATCATTTTACCCCGAAGTTAATTATATCTTCCCACTTTACATTCTCTTATGTTGTGGCTTTGAAGGATGCTTTTAAAACTTCAAGATAAGCTAACCATAAACTAAGAAGAGTTTGCATCGTTTTAACTCAAATTTTTTTATGGCTTTAAGGTGCTTCAACCCTAGCTATTAGATTCTTTAGAGAGGAACCATAATAATAATAATAAATAAATAAATGTAATAGAGGCCAGCCATTCCATCTCCATGATAGTCTAATATAAAAGGGGAAAAACTATATATATCAGCACTTAATTAGTCAAATAAACCAAAGAAAATAAATTAGTGTATTTGGGGAGAAAAGGAATCAAATAAAATAACATGGAAAATAAAAAATAATTATAATATATATATATATATCAATATTGCCTTTAAATATTTAACGGTCGCGACTAAAATAAGATAAAACAAATAACATATGTGATACTTTTATCATAAAAATATTCAATGACTGAAATATAAAAGAACCAATAGATTGACGATTACTTACATGTTTTACTCGAAGAAAATACGAAGATGAAAATGAATTATAACTTGTCCCAGTGAGGAAACAAAGTGTAATGGGGCTCAAGGGTATTTTGGATAATGCGAGGTCCAAAGGCATATTGGTCATTTTAGAATTGGAGGTTTGTTTTTTCAAATAGTTCGTATACATGCTGTTGAAAATATTTTGATGTTTCGATATAACAAACTAAGTATAAATGAATTTTAAGATTCTACAAAGATTTTTATAAGTATATTCGATTCAATTAATCGAATATCAAATTATTACTCCAAGTCTTTCAAGATCAATTTCAAACCTTACTAAATGTGTAAAATTGTGTTTTATACTTAATATATTTTTGAAACAATTTTCACAAAGTATTTTGAACCAAAATCAAGCCTAAAATCAATTTTTCAAAGGAATGCACCGATGCACCAATCCATGCATCGATGCACCATTGAATAAATTGAACTTCGAATGCATTTTATGCATCGATGCACATACCATGCATCGATGCACTCAGGGTTTTATGAAAACATCGAATACATTTTATTCATCGATGCACATACCATGCATCGATGCACTCTGGCTTGTTTGAAACATCGAATGCACTTCATGCATCGATGCACTCTTAGTGCACCGATGCACTAAGGGTCCAACGGTCGAAATATTTGAATTTTACACATAGTGTACCGATGCACTAGCCTTATGCATCGATGCACCAGATGCTCTCAACTATTTTATTAATTGTTTTCACACTTAAACGGCTCTATTGACTCCACTAATCATCCTCAACGTTCATAATCAATTGAAGGAGTATTTAAACAAGCTTAGAAGCCATTGATCAATAACAAGAAACAACAATCAAGAGAGAATCAAAGAGAAAGCATCAAACCTCAAGTTTGAGCATTTTCAAGCCTATTTCATTCAATATTCTTTTTTTCTTTCAAGAACACTTATTGTGCTCAATTGTATTATTTTTTAGTGTTCTTTCTTTGTTCTAGAATTGTGCAAGCATCTTGCCTTGTGAGGATTTTCTTGTAAGTTTGCAAAATTTTTATTGTTCTCTTTGGGAGAGAGTGTTCTCAAGAATTTGGGGTATAATTCTTGAGGGATTTGTAAGGTTACTCTTTGTCCTCAAAAAGAAAGACAAATGACTGAATTTGTGGAAAATCCTAAGTGTGGATAGCTAAGGTAGTGGACGTAGACTTTGGTTGAGAAAGTCGAGCCACTCTATATCGCTGTGCAATTACTTTCAATTTTCTACAAAAGCTTCCACCAAAATTTTAATTGCCAATTCACCCCCCTCTTGGCCATATTAGTCAATCGATTAACTCAACACATGCAATACTTACAATAAATTGGTTTTCAGATAAACCTTCTTAAATTAGAATATCCCAGTAATTTGCAATCTCGAAGTCTAGGAATTGATTACCTGGATTTTCTAATCAGATCATAAATTTAACTGATATTTTTGTAGTTCTATCCAACCAAGAATGAATTCTGAGGTCATTTCCAATGTCAAGGGATATTCAGTTCTTTTTTATATCAAGGGTATTTCAGTTATTCTATCCAATTTTTGTCATATGCATTACTTATAGTAATTTTGTCTTCATGTGTTTACACAAGATTCAGGATTCTACGCCCTTTGCCATCTTGGGAGTCATAATCAATTATCTGAATGTTTTTAAATCGAACAAGCACTTATTAGGTGAATTCAGTGGTTTAATTGGGTCAAGTATAACTTTCCATGGTTATTTTCCACTTTTGGGCACAATTTTCGTCTTTTTACATCATAATGGTGTTTTTATAATTTTACCTAGCAGGATTATTTTCATAATTTCTTTTCCAAGTATTTCCGGCATTTAACCTTTCTACAGAAGTAATCAGAATTTACGGATTCTTACGTTACTTGAATTACCAATTAACCACTGAACTTGATATTATTTCTTGTTAAGCTTTTAGTTCCTTACACAAGTCAATCGAGTCTTATTCAATTTACCTCCTTTATATTGTATTCAGTATTAGTTTCATAAATCCTCATAAGCACGAGATAGATCATTTTCATTAATGGAATTATCAATTATCAACGAGTACGATAAAAAATTCATAAGGTAGTAAAGTATTACCACGATTTTTGTGCCACAAAGATCAACCATTTAAAGTTCATTTGATCGCCCTCGAACTTGGTAAAACAATTTACGTTAGAAACAAAACTTAATCAGGAAAACTATTCGAATCAAAAGATAAAATGCTGAAAAATAGCTTACCCGATTCAAATTTGGTGAAACATACTTCATATTTGGGCTCGGGAATTCGA